AACTTGTAAATGCTCTCGGTTTAGCGGTTCTGCGGTAATCACAATGAACCTCACATTCTCAGGGTCTATTCGGAGTCACCTCTGATGTTATTGTATAACACAAACTACTGCCTGATTCTGCGAGACTCCCCATTCGCGAGGTGTTGGATTATGACGAAGAACGCGAGACCAGAAACGTGTTGCAACTGAACATTTTAAGAGTCAGTTAACATTTGATGCACTGAAATCCCCCTATTGAGAATCTAATCGATACAGCTCAATTCCAATATCGTCCCCCTATATTGAACGCGAATACAACAACATCGTTTAGGAAATTGGCATTCAGCCATGAAGGAAGGTTGTAGATCAGAAAAATGGCTGTAGCATATCTATTTATGCAGTGGCGTCAACCTTGCTCATATGAACAGCGAGGTCAACAAGACGGTTGGAATAACCCCACTCGTTATCATACCAGGAGACGAGCTTGACGAAGTGCTCATTAAGAGCGATACCGGCCTTAACATCGAAGATGGAAGAATGCTTGTCGTTGCACATATCAGTGGAGACGACATCATCATAAGTGATACCCATGACACCCTTCATGTCACCCTCACAGGCCTCCTTGACGGCGGCAACGATCTCGTCGTAGGTGGCAGCCTTCTCGAGACGGCAGGTAAGATCGACAACAGAAACATCAGGGGTAGGGACACGGAAGGACATACCAGTCAACTTACCGTTGAGAGAGGGGATGACCTTACCGACGGCCTTGGCGGCACCGGTGGAGGAAGGAATGACGTTGGCAGCAGCGCAACGGCCTCCTCTCCAGTCCTTACCACCCTTTGAGGGACCATCGACGGTCAATTGAGTGGAAGTAGTAGCGTGAATTGTGGACATGAGACCCTCGACGATACCAAAGTTGTCGTTCATGATCTTAGCAAGAGGGGCCAAGCAGTTAGTAGTGCACGAGGCGTTGGAGACAACCTTGAGATCGGACGTATACTCCTTGTTGTTAACACCCATCACGAACATAGGAGTGTCATCCTTAGGGGGAGCAGAGATGA